GAGAGGAGGCTACTGATAGAAGATGGGAGGGAAAAGGAGAGGCTGTCTAGGTTCCAAGAGTTTGTCGCCCAACAATCTCTAACCAAAAGGTGTTGGTCCGAGAGGGTGAGAGGCCCTTCGATGAGGGATCGAAGTGGGCCGGGCCTAACCAGTTGTCAAACCAAAAGGAGGTATGGAGGCCATTTCGAACGAGGATTTTGGAGCCAAATTGGAAGAGTTCAGCCCCTTTGTTAATTCCTTTCCAAGTGGGAGAGAGGGCTGAGGTCTTAGAACGGGGCTTGGAGTTCAGAACTTTAGCCCAAAGTTTATGTTTTTCAAAGAGAAGTCTCCAATTGACCTTGGCCATGTTGACATTGTTTACTAGGCTAGCTTGTCTAATGCCTAACCCTCCAACTTTCTTTGGTTTGGCTACATTATCCCAACTGATGGAGTGTATTTTCTTTTTTTCGGAGGTGGTACCCCAAAAGAAGTCCCTATTGAGTTTGTCTATTTTATTGGTAACAGACTTGGGGATATGGTTGCATTGCATGACATGGTTAGGGATAGCTGAATTGACAGCTTTGATAAGGGTGACTCGGCCCGGGAGGGATAGTAATTTGGATTTCCAACCGATCAGTTTATTTTGGATTTGTTTGAGAATGAAGAAGAAGGAATTGGCGGATGTGGTGAATGGGGCAGCCAAGGTATTTCCCAAGGTTGGTAGTGATCGGGATTCAGAGTTTGTTGGCAAGGTGGGTCTTGGCATTATCATCCAAGTTGGCAGAAAAGAAGACTTTGGATTTGGTCAGATTGATTTTTTGGCCTGATTTGCAACAGAAGTCGTTAAGGACAGAGGCTATGGTTAAGCAATTTTCCTCAGTGGCTTTCCCAAAGAGGATTAGGTCATCGGCAAAGAATAAGTGGGATAAGGTGGAACCGAATCTACTGATTTTAATGGGTGGCCACGGTTTTTGATCGCAAGCTTGGGTGATGGCAATGGACAAGTATTCCATGCAAAGGATAAAGAGATAGGGGGAGAGAGGATCACCCTGACGAATACCGCGGGAGGGGGAGAAGGTGTTTGTTGTACCACTATTGAACAGGATTGACATGGTGGAGGAAGAAATGCAAGAGAGAATGATGTCAATCCAAATCTTTGGGAAATAGAAGAACATGAGGATGTGACGAATGAACCCCCACTCAAGTCTGTCGAATGCCTTTTCTAAGTCAAGCTTGATGATCATTTTGCCACTGTTGCCTTTTGTAGCACGAAAGCTGTGGACAACCTCCTGAACAATAACAACATTATCAGTTCCTTTCCTTCCCGGTATGAAACTGGTTTGGTAGGGACTAATAAGCTTGTCGAGTAGGGGTCTGAGGCGAGCAACAATGGTTTTGGTGATGAGTTTATAAATGGTGTTACAAAGACTGATGGGGCGGTATTGGGTGACAAGTTCTAGATTAGTGGTTTTGGGAATGAGGCAAATGTAGGTGTGGTTGATATTGGGGTCAACCGAACCAGTGGAGAAGACATCAGAGATGACTCTCATGATAGAGGGGGCTACGATGGTCCAGCATTTTTGGAAAAAGACGTGATGGAGGCCGTTAGGGCCGGGAGCTTTCCAAGGCTTAAAGGACCCAAGGACAACTTTTATTTCAAGGGCAGTGGGAGTTAAGCAGAGGGAGGGATGGTGGCTGACATCGATTTGGGGGAAAGGGTTGCAATGCTTATTCTCATGTCAATGTGTCTATATGCTTGCTTATTTAAGTTTTAAAAAAAATGGAGTGCAAGAAATGGAAAAAGGGCCAATAACACAATAATTTAGCCAAATGATTCATGCATTATGTTAAAGAAACTCTACTTTTTCCTTTCAGTATTTTTAGAGTTATGTGTGGCTCAAGCATCTCTTCCTAGTGTCATGTGCGATAATTTGAAAAAAATAGAATAAGCGAAGGAAAACATTCGGATGACAAATGCTTTGATTCACATAGAAGGTGCCACAAGAAAGAAAGTTGAATAGAATGTGGGTCAAGGTAGCAAGGTAAGAACCACAAAATAAGCAAAGAAGAAAACATGATCGTAATCGATATAAAATAACTGCTGATGAGGAATCTTCATTGCCTAATGAGGAATCTTCATTGCCTTATTTGTCCTTAAGTGGTGTATGAGGACCACGAACCATGCATTTCTCTTTTGCACCATATTCCAAAGTAGGGATTGTCTTGTTCATCTCTTTGGATCTGGGCTAGAACACAATATCATCAAAATTTTTGACTTGTCATTCTCAAATGAATCCAAAATACAAAATGAACAAAAGACTCTCAGATATCAAAATCAATAGAGGGGATGGAAAGGGAACAACAAAATCATTGAAAATCATATCAACAATAATGCAAATTTGCATGCAAAAGCATGGTTAACATGTTGTCTCTGAATGGCACATGAGAATCACCATTTGCAATGGACTGAACCACCCTCTTCAGTGCTATATTTCCTTGGTTGATCTTCGCTATCTGCAATCAAGGGAATCACAAAATTGATATATTATTAGGAAACAATCAAAAACTAAAATTAGTAGGAAAAAAAGATGTTCATAATTTCACAGAAAAATCCTAATTAATGGACAAAGTGTACCTGCATTTTTGCCTCCAAACCAGTTTGACCATCTTGCTCAATATTTTCAGAACCAGCCATGTCAACAGGCATAAGCCAACCTCCTACTGTTGGGACGTCAAGATTTATCTGCACAAGTTTAGAGAGAAATGTAAGTGCAAGTTGAAATAAGACTACACAAAAAAATAAAAAATAAAAAGTAATGGTGTATCTATCGTAGAAGGAAAAAAAAATTTATAGAATGAAACCATGCAGTGGCTTCGAGAGCTTCGCTCGTTGCAGAGTGTGCTTTTAACAATCCTTCACTTCTATACTTTTCGGATCTCTTTTGATATTTTTGTAGCTTCAGTTCCAAAGATAAAAGTTGCATTATTTGCCTTCTTTCCCATCACTTCCAGTCTGCAAATACAAAATAAAGATTTGAAATTACTAACAAGAGGCTATCTAGCATAAGCAGTACCATTTATCAGAGAAATTAAACATGCAAGATGAGATAGACATCCTATTAAGAATTTCAAATTTGAAGGCCTTTCCCTCTCCCCCCTAAAATCATTGTCTTTGCAATGCTTCAATAAGCCAACACCCACTTGTAGAAAAGTGGCCTCCATTATACAGCAGTAGTAGTATCGTGCAATTAACGGTGTATGAAAGGATTCAAGAATGTGGTCTAGTAATTCGAAGATCTTCGAAGAAAACTCGAATTCTAAGAAATGATGAGAAGCTTAGATTCTTCAACGGTCGTAACTAGAAATACAATAATAAAGAGATAATGGAGATAAGAGATTGGGTGAAGAAGAAGGAAAAGTAATTAGAGAGAGAATAATGGCAAGGCTCTCCCATAGATCTCACACTTTCATTCTCAAGGTAGATAATGGAGAAGGGAAATTAGTTCTTTCCCAAGAGCTGTCTCTTCAAAATCCCTCCCTCGTAAAGCTATGGGTGGGTGCTATTAATAGGCACCTCATAATGTAGGATGGAGCCCATGGGGAATATTTCCTCTAAATACCTTGTTCAAGGAGGTAACCTCTCCAAGGATGAGGAAAACTCCGAAGAGGAGATCAACCTCTCAGAGAACCCTTCTTCTTAGCCACACCTAACCAATGATCTCCAGTCATCCCAAAGGGTCAAGGGTAGTCCTAGAGGACACCCTGCCGCAGAAGGGTCATGGGTGGTTCAAGAGAACGCCCTGTCGCAAATATTGCCAAGTCTTAGAGACCCCCTAGATCGTGCCACCTCGACCCAGGTATAGGCTAGTTTAACCAAAAAGTGAATTTGCCTCCACTCATTGTCCTTGAGATGGGGTCCTTTGTTCGGACTCCGTTACGCCCATGGTTCTGGTGTGTAGATCCCGAAAAGCTCCAAGCCCGCAAGTGTTCTGGGACTCATTAATGGAGCGGCTTCTAGGTTGCGTCTGAATCTGTTCGAAGCCAAGCACTTCAGATCTCTAGGTTCGTAGATCCGAACCCTTTCGAATCCGAGCTCAAGTAGGTCTCTTGGTTCGTGGTTCCAAACCCTTTCAAGACTAAACCAATACCTCAGAGAATAGATCTCCTCTGAGGGTTTCATCTCTTCTGAAAGCAACAGTTAACCTCATCGGCTCAATTTGTTGACTTTTTTGTGGACCCGTTCAATAGAATTCACTTAGGCCCATTTGGCAATAATTTCTCCAAGCTCACCAATTTTTGGGCTTTGAATGGGCCCAATTAATTTAGTGGGACTACAAGAAGTTGAGTCTTGGATGACGAATTTTTTTTATCTCCGAAGAGCTAATTTCGTCACTATAGATATTTGTGAGGAAATATTTTCGTCACCAGGTTCGTCATTGAATGTTTGTCACTAAAAAGTATCGTGACGAAAAATAATTTCGTCACCAATGAAATTACTTTAGTGACGAAACTTTTTGTCACCAATAAAACAACATTTTGTCACCAAAAATCCTCATTTTCGTCACCAAATAGTTATTCAGTACTGCATTTATAACTTTAGTTGACGAATAAATTTGTCACACATATTGATCATTGATGAAGAAATAATTTCGTCACAGTAAGATGTAAAGTTGACGAAATTCTTCGTCTCCAAAAGTCAGACATGGGTGACAAAATATATTTCGTGGCAAAAATATGTATACATGACGAAATGTTTAGTCACCAAACAACAAAATCAATAAAAACAATAAAAACTTTCATATATAAGCTGCAATAAATTTTGTCACAAAATATATTTATTAGCGACGAATAATCACTTTTCCATAATAACAAGTACAAATGACGAAAAAATTCGTCACTAAACGTGCCTTATATTTTATATTTCAATTAAAATTATTATTTCACAAATATTCCTTCTCATATCCCAATTGCCTTTTAAATAAAAAAATCCACCAGCTATTATACGCAGTCCACACAACAAATTCACCAAACAATTTATATTATAAGTCAAAATATATCCATCAAATAAATTTAATAATAATCCATTAAGTATAACAAAAAAAAACTATCATAGCAATTCCTAAATTGAACTAACGTGGAGTCCGCACAAAAAATCAACTCTAGATCTTGATTTACAATTAGAACTAAATATCTGTTCAGGAAAAAAAAAAAAAATCAACACTTGATCTTGATTTGCAAGTACGCTTCCAAATGTCATCAAAAACTAATCTGCAAAGAAAATAAACAAGGAAAATATTAATATATTAGCAATTACATCTAAACTCATATTTAAATAATTTATTTTATAAACCAATTTAGTAGAAATGCATATAACAATCCAAAACTTCAAAGAGTTAAAGTGATCCTTGATGATAAGCAACATGGATAACAAATTTGATAACAAAAGATTACAGGAATAAAAGCAAACTTCATGTTAGGAACAAGGGACAAGAAGGCAATTACTAACAATTAACAATTAACAATAGAGGACTTAAATTAGTACTGAAAAAAATCACTGTAAATAAATTAATTCTTCAGGGCAATAGCTGTGTAGGTGTTATATGAGTGTTTTCCTCGAGTTTCTCTCGGGCTTTGTGAACTTTCCTAGGTTTTGAATTTTTCTCCCATTTTCTCTCTTCTAGGGTTGACTTTTTCTAAGTTTGCAAAAGACTTTTTGCGACGGCAAAGTAACGGTTGCAAATTATTTGCGACTATCTAAACTACTTATGGCAATAGCTATTTTGCCTTCGCAAAAAATAAAGAAAAATGGTAACATATTTTTTGGCGACCATCTTGTTACCATCGCCAAAAAAAAAAAAGTATAACATTAAGCACTCAAAATTGATCCTCATATCTGCTGCACAATATTAGAACTCATGTATGGTAGTGATTTTAAATCAAACACAGTATTCAAGGTTTAATCAATTCGGACTAGTTTTGTGTTGCTACAATTCTTTCCTGGCTCCAACACAACTCTCATAAGTGACGGATGATGTTTTATTATCACATGAGTAAAAGAGAGGACAGATAAAATATTTATTATCTTAAAAATACTGTCAAATGAAACACAAGTACAGTTCAATGCATGTTCACAATTGAACATGGCAGCGAACATTTAGGAGCTGATCTTCTGAGTAGCTAGTATGCCACTCACAGGTCTTGCTCCATTGCTTAAACCCAGAAATGGTACATTTAGCAGTGTAGATTGTTGTGGCAGCCAAGAAAGATGGTGGGAATTTGAGTATCTCATACTCCATGAGGCATAAGTCGATCAAGAAGATCAATACGAGCCCAAGTTGTTGCAAGGTGCACATTAGAATTACAATTTCTCATTTAGGCTGACTGTGATATGAAAAAATAAAAACTAAATAACACAACATATGGACCGAAATTGAGATTATCTGCTTACTTTCTATCAGATTGAGCAGCCTTAAGGTATCTGATCAAGAAGACACATGGGGTTGGAATTGACATGTTGAACTGTAGTGTATTGAGCATCAATCTCTCCTGCATGAATGTGAACCCAAACATGTTTCATGTTAAAACAGAGTCTGTCAAACATTTAAGTGAAGCTTCAACTCTTACATTTTCAATTCAAACTACTTTCAATCGTTCAACCAAACAAGGTGAATGTATGGAACCATTTCAATTCTTCACCAACATTATTTAGATGGAGCTAGCAAAGAAATTCGAACAACAAAAATATTCAAGCATACCTGCTTTTTTCTGCTTAGAGATAATAAATTCATACTCCTTGAGAGCATACTAGCATCTTCTTAACTCTTCTTCAGTGCTGGCCAACAATTTGCTTGTTTCGTTCAAGTTTTTCTACAAAACTTTCAATCCTAAAACCATATATAACCACATACGGATAGAACTTACCTGGGTGGCATCAAGTTTGTTGTCTATGTTAGAGCATTTTTTAACCTGATCATCGAATTTATCTTGTAATTCCTCAAGTTGTTGGTCATAGCAAATTCTATTGTTTTTACAGTTGGTTAAATTAAACGGACCTTCTGGTGGATTTCTATTGTAACTGCCATTTGTTCAGTCTGATCTGCCATTACCTAAACATGAAGAAAAAAGCTACAAGATTAGAGGTGAATGTCAGATGAATAGACTTCAGAAACCAATGATTGAACGATGAAGGATACATATATGAAAAATGATTTATCAAATCAGGGACGCTTCGCCCCTTGTACTAAGAAGATTCCAATATCAACCTCAGGCTTATTTCTAATATGTTTTGCCCTATGTGCATAGTCTAGTGTACTCAAGGTCTCCTCCAGGCAATGGACTGCAGGTGATACTGTGGTAATAATGCATGTCTTGATTTTTGCACCCAACGAATCGCAAAGCAGACAGGTGAGCTTGTTATCCCTACATTCCAATTTAGCATAGTAAGTGCATAATTGGGATAGGGAAAAAAATCTGAAAAAAGATATAAAAACAAACTAATGGTCTAATGAAAAGAACTTTAACCTGTATGGGACATGCACAAGATGCTCCACGAGACCATTAATAACTCGTCTGATAGTTAGCAAGTCTCCATTAGGTCCAGCCTGGCACAAAATATAGACATGGCATCAGAACTTGAAATGAGTAAGTATAGCAAACTTAAACATGAACTAACCACATAAACAACAAAGTACCTTTGAGCTCTTACATTCTCCTTCCATGGTGTAAGTTTTTCTTGTGCCAAGTTTCCATAGGCAAAAATGGCACAATTGAAACCCTCCAGAACTAAAAACCTATATAGTACTAAAAACCTATATAGTACATGAAACATTTAATGGAAGAAGCAGAAACACTTAAACACATAAGTTAGAGACTTCGCTTCTTGGCTATGGTATTTATGTACCACAGGTTATCCTCTCATAGAATTTATCATTGCAACAAAACAAAAAAAAATAGTAAAAAAGATTAGAGATCTTTTTATTTGTATATGAGTACGACAAAATGCAGCTTTACAACTTACTAGTGCAGCTGCCACGCCAATGACTATTTGTAGCCTTGTTCTCCAATTCAAGGGAGTCTTCAGAGGATCTGCCAAGAGCCAAACTTTGATAACATAATCAAATTAGGCAAACATGTAAATTTTGTGTTCTAAAAGCTACCATTCAGATGCGCCTTCAGGATTCCATTTTCTATGTCTTCAAACACTAGAAACCTGAAAAGGGAACAGTTAAATACATCAAAAAGAGAAGTTTCTCAAAACAACAGTTAAGGCCCTTTAAGGGTTAAATACATCAAAAAGATAAGTTTCACAAATGAGTAGATTGTAAGAGGTTCAAAAAATACACGAAATTTAGCAAACAATCTAGAGAAATGTTCAGATCAAATTTAAAAGCCAAAGCAAATCGAGCTTAATAATCAAAAAAAAAAAAATGAATCTTCAAATCAAAAACCTATTTCCAAATCAGAGTTTGCACCGCATTGATAAAAATAAATTGAATTGGAAAAAAATCATGTTGATCTTTGAAATCCACTTCCTCTGAACTAATGTTGATCGTCACGATAAGCCGAAGAGAATTTGGGAGCTGAGAGAAAGATATAGGGATTACAGAGATAGAGTTGGATTCATACATAGAAATTAGGCTTACCGATTATAAATCAATCGAAATCTTCATCAACAGCAGATCGAAATCTTCAAATCTTCCAATAACCATCATGGCTACCACTGATTACTGCACCAGTCTGAACCAAAGGCAATTCAGATGAACTGGAATCTGGCCTCCAAGATGGAATATAAGGTGCAGATGGCTGGCTGAGTGAACTGGATACCCATTGGAAACAGGAACACTACACACTGAATTAGATGTACTAGTAACTGAAACGTTCTGTGTCCCAGGAGCACAACTAACTTCTGTTTGACTGTAATAATCTGCCCATTGCTTATATTGTTGCTGATACTGTTGTGAAGACCTAGAAGTAGCACTAGCATTATAAGCACCATTTGGGTCTGGAGTGTAGTTTGAAAATTGATGAGAAGTGTAACTTGCATAGTTTCCTTCATTCCACGAGTTGGTTTAATTACTGTAACTGCCACTCGCATAACCTCCAGATATCTAATAATCACCAGGATTGTAGTAAGTGCTTGAATAACTTGCAGGCCCAGCATAAGACCCTGAATTCTGAAATGAGGAAAAAGGCTGATAAGGAGCACTTGTGTTTTGATATCCTACTACAGGCTGAGGGTATGGTTGATTAGATTGCTGCTGATAGCCACCATAATAACCTGTGTATGTGGGATTGCCATATCCATATGGATCGGTATTTGGGTACATTGCATAGCTATTATATTCTTGTGGTACATTTACTGCTTTCTATTTTATTTACTATTTGATTTTTATCCACAATCTGTTAATTGCTAACAGCATACTGAATTCTCATATCTTATTAAAAAAATGAATAAATGAATGATATAGGGAATGGAATTTAATGGTGCATCCAAACATTTCATGGCTTTTGGGGTGGTATGAGATTTTGTGTCAGAACACATTTAGATTTATACTTTTCCTTTTGACATTAAATGTTAATTACTGGTTGGACCTTAACAAATTAAACCATTTAATTAATTTTTGCATTACTCCAAATTAAAAATAAATATTTTTTTACAAGCGTACCAAGCCATACCTGTGCCCTATTTCTTTTGAATTTTACCGTATCAACGTACCCGTATCATACCAGTACTCATACCCGTACTTGTGCTTCATAGGTTTTCATGTTCAGATCTTTGAGAAAAATGAATCAAAGGAAGAGCCAAAAAATAATTCTATTTAGACGAACCAGTTGATGCATAAGCAAGCCATTTGCATGCTTAAAGGCAGACACACCAAGCCAGATAGCTAATCTAAAGCAATGAAATACATGATTATCAATAATACATTCAAACTGTGGAGAAAGCAATTACAGTGGTCTCCCCCAAACTACAAAAAAGATGAACATATTTTTACTTTCCGAACATTTTTTATGCCATTGATCTAACCACCTCAATTGAACAAGAGAGACATTGAGATAGTACCAAACTACAATTTTTATAGGAGTTGAGAAAGTAGAAGATATGAAGAAAGATTTATGCTCCACACTTCAACCAAAAGAGAATAAGGCACAACTCTTTGCCAAGAGCTCTTCATCTAATTAATGCAAGAGTCACTGTAAAAGCATAAAGCATGTTTAAATATTGGTTAAGGTGTGTTAACAAAAAACATAGATTGGACCAAGTTTTTGATCTAGATTATATGAGTGGGCCCAAGTCTATGTCCTGAAATATTCCATCATGACTAGATAAGAGTTCTACAACTTTACAATTTCTAGGAAAGCCAAGCAGGTTGTGCATATTTTGGACTACTTTCAACTAAGGCTGCAAATTAACCGAACAAATGCTTTTGGTCAGCTCATAAGTTGGTTTGTTCACTCAGCAGACAACCCAAACTTGAGAACTATCTTTAAGCTAGCTTCATTAATAACATGTGTCCAATTTTATAATGTTATTATATATATATATACGATTGGTTACATCATTTTCTATATTTTGCACTTAATCTTAACCATTCTCGATTCAATTTGATTTACGATTCACCAAATTAGGATTTCAATTCATGATGCAATTTTCAATTTCACAACTATGTGTGTGAACAATAATACATGTTGAAGAAGTTTAGTTGATGTACTAACCCAACATTATTCATCTAGGTGGAAAAATCTGAAGCACTACTCATAACAAGTGGACCAATAAGAAGTATATCAAACATAAGAATATAAAACAGGAACCAACAACAAAATCTATAATAAAAACAAAATAAATAGTAAAATTTATAATACGAATCGTAAAAATCATATACAATTCACAAACAAAACCCATATCCCACAATCCAAATCGAACCAAATTTGAGAAAAATCAAAGCAATTGAGAAGAAAGAGAAAAGCGATTACCAAGTGATGAGGCTCCTCAAAACTTCGAGTCTAAGTGACCAATCTGATGTGAAATGAAAAAAGCCCTAGATGGAGATGATTAGGCGATACAGAGTCAGAATTGGGAGATGTGGGAATGATGATCGATCGAAGTTTGTCTGCGAAAATTGGATTTTCCAAAGAGGGGAATTAGATTTTCCGATTGGGAAAAGGAATTGGATTTGGATTTGGATTTGGATTTGGATTTGGTTTATTATATATATATATATATATATATATTCTTCTCGATGAAGATTTCAAATTCTTCCCTTCAGCGAGATGATCGTGTTTGGGGAAGAAGAAAGAATATCTAGAAAAATCAATCAAAAGGTTTAGGGGGAATTAGTAAGGTCTTTTTTTTTTATTATTATTATCAATATCTCAAAGTTCTCCCTTTAAAATTGGTGATAAAATAATTTTTTCATCAAAAATTTTAAAATATTAAAATTATTGATAACAAAAATATATTCTTCAGTAAATAGTTTTAAAACATTTAAAACCAAATTTTTTTATTAAAAAATGTTTAAAATTATTGGTGATGAAAATATATTCTTCACTAATAATTTTAAGATAAATTACAAACACACCCCTTAAGGTTTGTTTAAAATACATATTACCCTTTGTGATTCTAAAAATTATATCCCGCCCCTTAAGATTTTTAATTTCATAACGAATAACCCCTTTTAATATCAAATTAATTAATAGTTTTTAATAATGTTAAAATTTTATTTCAAGTAATAATTCAGGTAATTTTATTATTATATTAGACAGCGGTTAAGAATTTTATTTTTTCATAAGAGGATATTTGTAATTTTTCAAACCACAGGGAACAATTCGTATTTTAAGTAAACCTCAGGGGGTGCATTTGTAATTTATCCATAATTTTATAATTGATGACAATTTTTTTTTTCACCAAAAGTCTCAAAATTTTGGTGCCACCCAAAAAAATTAGAGAGAAAACTTTTAGTGACGAAATTTAATTTTTCTTCACATAAAAATAAGAATTTATTGACAAAAATAAATTTCTACACCTAATATTTTTACTTTTTTATTATATGTGACAAAATTTTATAATTTGTCACGGATTATTCTTATTTAGTGACGAAATTTATTTTCTTCATTATTTTTCGTCACCATAGGTTACTTAAAGAGCTAATTAACTTGTGTTTTGTTCACACAGAGAGGGAAGAGGAAAACTGATAAACAACAAAAAAAAAAGAAAGGAAAAAAGGTTAATAGTCTATCTTTTTTCATTACACAATATGTCAAAATTTTCCATCAAAAATTAGTGACGAAATAATTTCCTCACTAAAAAGTCTCAAAATATTCAAAATTATTAGTGATAAAAATATATTTCTCACCAAATGATCTTAAAATATTTAAAATCAAGTTTCTCAAAAAATATATATATATAAAATTATTGGTGACAAAAATATATTCCTCACTAATAATTTTATAATTTGTGACAAATTTTTTTCTCACCAAAAGTCTCAAAATTTTGGCGCCATCCAAAAAAAATTAGTGGGAAAACCTTTAGTGACGAAACATAATTTTTTCTCACCTAAAAAGAAGTATTTGTTGACGAAAATAAATTTCGTCACCTATTATTTTTATTTTTTTATTATATGTGACAAAATTTAATAATTCGTCATGGATTATTCTTATTTAGTGACGAAATTATTTTCTTCACTATTTTTTGTCACCATAAGTTACTTTTGTTGTAGTAAGTTAACCCCTCTTACATTTTGCCCCTTACATGTATGAAAATTTTTGAATTTCTCGGACATGCATATTTCCACTTCTTCGGCCATGCTGCACATCATGTCCTCGGGAATATTTTGTCTTCATGTGGCTTTTAGATAAGATTGACAAGTCATCATAACTTATGAATAAGATTGACAACTAACAAAGATAATAAGAAATCTTTTTTATCTTTATGCCACGTTTGGCCCATATACACTTTCATACTTGATTTATTCTCTCAAAAAAGAAAAAACAAAAAAAAAACAAAATTTTAAATATTTAATAATCCACCCACCAAGAATGATCAGGAATTAAATTCCTCTCCCAGGAAATAGTTAGGCCTTGATATTTAATCTTCAATAAGCTAGATGACTCCAAAACTTTCATCCTTCTAGAATATCCAAATAACCTTTTTTCCATCTTAGGAAAGGGTGGGCATGGATCGGTTGCTGCCACGGAACTTTTAATCTGCCATCCGTCCGCCAAATTGGCAGATTGGAGAAAATAATCCTCATCTGTCCGCCAATCTGGCGAATATGGATCGAGCGGATTGGCGGATTGGCAGATGGAGGCGAATCGGATTGGCGGTTTAAAATTTTATAAATTTTTAACATAATTCAATTTATACACTTCCTCAAAAATATATATATATATATATATATTATAGTCAATGACTTAAAAAAGTATTACAATCACTGCATACCTCATCCAAAAAAAGAAAGTTTGAAATTTTAGAATATTACAATCACTACATGCTTCATCCACATATTACAATTACAGCATGCCTCATCTACATAAAGTATTACAATTTTTAAATTATAAGAACAATTTAAACCACCAAAACCATTAACAGAGCAGTAGTAGAGATTGTATGTCTCTGTATTGTTACATCTATATCTGTTTTTGAAAACAAAAACCAACCAGCATATATCATCTTTTTTATTTATTATTTTTAGAGTTAGATTTAAAAATCAAAAAATATAGGTGAATAATACATTTAATTTTTTTAATTCAAAAAATATATTCAAGTTAAAAACTCTTTTTCAATAGAATGTATTCAACAAAATATTTAAACTCTTTTTCAATTGAAAATACTAATAGAATATCTAAACAAATTGAAAACACAAAATCTTTCAAATTACTAGGGGTGCTCGAGATTTGGAAGTTCGGTTGCGGCCAAAGAAACCTCAAATCCGCCATCCGTCCAAAATTAGGCAGATTGAAAAAAATCAATCCCCAACCGTCCGCTCGTCATCATGCATTCGTCCAAAATGCGACGAATTGGTTCAATTCGATCGATTTGAAAGGATCGATATATCCGCTACTCACTCCTAAGATTCCCAAATCAAAGAAATCAATAATCTCATTTTTTTTTTATTACTGAAAAAGGTGAAGGCCAAATTTTCTCTCTCCAACTTTATTTGAAAAATCAACCCTTCTCAAAACAACACTTCTGAATTAGGTCTCACACATACATGGAGCTCAACAATTGAAATCCCCCCCTCCCTTTTTATTTTTATAAATATCCACCTCCAAGATTCACTTTTCATTCTCTCTTTCTAGAATGCTTAGAAAACCCATCTTTCTGTTTGAAGACGAAAAAGACCGAGAAAACCTTTTTTTTTTTCTTATAACAAGAAAACAAGCATCAAACCAGTGCATCGTCTATCTTCCGCCGCTGCCCACCACAGCAACTCTGAACACGCTAACACCGCGACCCGAGTCGCCGCTGGCTGACACCGACACCATCCGAGTTCGTTAATCAGCACCATCTTCACCAACCCACTCGCCGACATCGTGACAACTCAGTGGCGCAGCGTACCGGCCTCATCAACTCGCTCATGAGCATCAATACATTATGCCGCTAACCTACTCCAGCTGCTGCTGTACTGCGGTTCAACTCGCACCTTCATGCGCCTTCTAGCTTGCATTGCTTTGCCGATTTCAACTCAGTCACGGTCATCCGCGCCGACCTCAAACCATACCAGTGCTCACAGGTGCTATCTTTTAACTGGCTTCCTCTTGCCGATTTTGATTTGTGTTGATTCAAACCCTTCCTAGACTAGCTCCATTTTTCCTTTGCTTCTGTGCACTACAGGAAATGCCACTTTTGGCGACCAAAATATTGGTCGCCAAAAGCCCCATTTTTGGTCGCCGAAACAATTAGCGACTAAAATATTTTGTCGCCAAACTAGTCGCCTATACCCTGTCGGCGATAGTATTGGCGACTAAACTATTTTTGGTCGCTGAAAGTGAACGTTTTGGCTACTAAACTCTGGTTAGTCGGCAAAGGTTATCTTTTGGCGACTAAAATATTAGTCGCCAAAAGTGAACATTCGGCTACCAAACTCTGAGTAGTCGGGAAAGGGTATGTGATTATTAAATTCCTAATAAAGTTTAATATAACAAAGATATCCAATATGCAGAATGCCCAAAATAAAGTTTATTAAATCGGCTCCTCTTCCCCAAATAAAGTTTAAATTCCTAACAAAGATATCCAATATGCAGAATGCCCAAAATAAAGTTTATTAAATCGGCTCCTCTTCCCCAAATAAAGTTTAAATTCCTAACAAAGATATCCAATATGCAGAATGCCCAAAATAAAGTTTATTAAATCGGCTCCTCTTCCCCAAATAAAGTTTAAATTCCTAACAAAGATATCCAATATGCAGAATGCCCAAAATAAAGTTTATTAAATCGGCTCCTCTTCCCCAAATAAAGTTTAAATTCCTAACAAAGATATCCAATATGCAGAATGCCCAAAATAAAGTTTATTAAATCGGCTCCTCTTCCCCAAATAAAGTTTAAATTCCTAACAAAGATATCCAATATGCAGAATGCCCAAAATAAAGTTTATTAAATCGGCTCCTCTTCCCCAAATAAAGTTTAAATTCCTAACAAAGATATCCAATATGCAGAATGCCCAAAATAAAGTTTATTAAATCGGCTCCTCTTCCCCAAATAAAGTTTAAATTCCTAACAAAGATATCCAATATGCAGAATGCCCAAAATAAAGTTTATTAAATCGGCTCCTCTTCCCCAAATAAAGTTTAAATTCCTAACAAAGATATCCAATATGCAGAATGCCCAAAATAAAGTTTATTAAATCGGCTCCTCTTCCCCAAATAAAGTTTAAATTCCTAACAAAGATATCCAATATGCAGAATGCCCAAAATAAAGTTTATTAAATCGGCTCCTCTTCCCCAAATAAAGTTTAAATTCCTAACAAAGATATCCAATATGCAGAATGCCCAAAATAAAGTTTATTAAATCGGCTCCTCTTCCCCAAATAAAGTTTAAATTCCTAACAAAGATATCCAATATGCAGAATGCCCAAAATAAAGTTTATTAAATCGGCTCCTCTTCCCCAAATAAAGTTTAAATTCCTAACAAAGATATCCAATATGCAGAATGCCCAAAATAAAGTTTATTAAATCTGTTCCTCTTCCTCAAATAAAGTTTAAATTCCTAACAAAGATATCCAATATGCAGAATGTCCAAAATTGACTTCTTTTCATATGATTAAACTAACCAACACATTCAAATAAGTACAAGAATCTGAGTGAGTTAGAGCATAAAATTGTCTTCAATCCACCTAGTTCTAACTAAATATGAATAAAATATATGGGGATTCATCAACGAATGAGAATTTAACCACAACATATCTCATCAATAAATGCATACAAACAAACACAATGGTGAGATTATATCCAAATTTTTTATGACCATGTTCCATGGGGCTTGGCTAATTATGCAGTGGTTTGATTTGCTATTAATGTCTATCTCTCAATAAAATCACAATACTCTGTAACAGAGTTACAATGGTGTACATATATTGGTGACCAAGTTCAATTGTGAAAGCAGATTGAAACAGATTCAAACACTCCATGTTCCAATTGTTTCTGATAAATTTGTCACTTGAGCATAGAATCAAACACTTGGTGGGCAAAAAATTTAACAATCCACATATCAAACAAACAATCACCTAAACCAATGATCCAAATTCAGAGTTTATGATCTAAATTTTCTAAATAATAATAGACCATAGATAGTGAACCCAACAAAATACTAAAACCCAGATGAATGAAGCAAATGGCATTACTAATCCGTAAAAAAATAAATGAAAACCTGGAAGAGTGGGCATAGTGCAAGAAGTGACGGGCTTGGGCAACTTCTCAACCTCGACAAGGTACGTACGGCAGTTTCCGGCAATGGAGAGGCGGGTGTGGTAACAGAATATGGGAATTATCCAAAAAAACTACAAATCAAACTCCTACGAAAAAAAAAAAAGACAATCTGTAAAAATAATTTTCTTGTAGAATATTTACTCTTAGAATGATTTTTGGGGGAATTGTTGTTGGCCAACATTTGTTGTAACTAGGTTCATATATTTTTTCAATTTTTTATTACATATTTACTGTCGAGCACAAATATTATTGAAAACTGGTAACCATTACTCATTGGTTGTTAATGTTAATATATGTAATAAAAAGTGCACATGAAATTAAAAGTGCATTCAAATTTATAACTTAGCATTATTTGGTTTGAGTCATGGTGAAATACTGAACATAGTTAACATAACACCAGCAACAAGAAAAATTGAAAATCAAATAATATGAAATTATTCTATAATACCCAAGAATAACACACACATGAAAAGATTAAGCACAGATCTGGGCTTAAAAACATTCATAATGCTATTTGTAAATATATATATATATATATATATATATAAAGTAATTCAAATGTGATGCTGGATGATCTCACATTATGGATGAACCCAGTGTACAAAACTCCCACTAAAGTAGGGTCTGGATATACAACCTTACCCCCCATTATGGATCTGCAAATCAAATATTGTTTGCTGGATGGACAAAATTTATAAAATTGTATGTCCTATTCAGTTTGGTTGGACACCCATTTGAGTGAAAGAAGTAGAGATCTTTTATAGCTAATCATTTCAAGAAATGTGAGATCTCTCAAATTTCAATCTAGAATTCAATTGGTATATCCCTTAAAATCTTTAAATTACAGAGTTATTAAAAGTGCTTTTGAGTTTCAATAAAAACTATATCCCAAGGAAATATTTTTAGTTATGAGGTTGTGGATGAGAAAAAGAGAACACAGGAAAAGGCCCAATCTAAATTAGTTTGAGATTCTAGGTACCACAACCTAGTATTTCCGTTAACCAAAAACACCATATAAGACCACTAAAAAGCAATAACATCATCTCCATATAAACAAAAACTCACTGGAAGCATTTAAAATCGGGCTCATTTCATTTTGAACTTATAAAATTCAAACCACATCTAAAAAAAGTAATAACAGTTACTAAAAAAACTACAGAATGTAGAATAGCAAGTCCTAAGTACTGACAAAAAAAAGACTCTTACCCAGTCCAGCCCGTCTGGAAAAGGGTCAACCACAAAAGTTGGAATCTCCTCCATCAAATTGTCTGGATTTCCTGAATGCAAAACCCTAGTGAATCCTCCCATATCAGAACCTGGCATGGCTTTAACCTTCTTATACCAATAATACATGATCTGGCACTGCCACTTGCTGTAAGGTGCATCTGTGGCTGAGAATGAAAAAATTATAAGGAAATATTAACCCAAAGAAAAGGGACTGGTTTCTAAAATTGAACCAATAGGTAATTCTCCAGTAATTATCAAAAAGGTAGAGTAGCTTATATTCTAATGTTGCTTTAACTAGTAATTTGGTCTGATTCTAATAAGAAGGTTGTTGTGATTGAATCATTAAAAAGGTAGAGTAGCTTATATTCTAATGTTGCTTTAACTAGTAATTTGGTCTGATTCTAATAAGAAGGTTGTTGTGATTGAATCATTAAAAAGGTAGAGTAGCTTATATTCTAATGTTGCTTTAACTAGTAATTTGGTCTGATTCTAATAATTTTCTTCACATAAGAAGCACCTAAGGAATTTTAAATGCTCCTCACGTAAGAATGAAAGCAAAATCTGCTGATTCTTGTTGTGATTGAATCATTAAAAAGTAATATAGTACTGATAATTGTCAAGGCTGACCTTTCTTCTTCTCCTTTTTTGCCCCTCCAATAATGCTCCATTTGTTTGGGAATGTTTTCTGCATTACGTAAAATCTCAAGCTGAACTTATTTATGACTGATGCAGATACATTCTGATTGTTGTAACTGATCAAGTATTTGTAAATCCTTTGCCAAACTTGGCATATGGAGACCAACCAGTTGCATTCCCATTTTCTACATAAAACCAAGTAACACCAACAACAACAGAGATAACCACCAAGCCTCACAGCAGCTAATCAATCAAACCACAACCTCAAATCAGAGCATACCAGCATACCACAACCTCAAAACAGAGTAGGAACAAATCGTATTCAACAATTTATCCAATTGGAAATCACAAAAAAATTGAGGGAAATCGTATACAAATCTTTATTCACAAAGAGTGTACATATATATATATATATATAGAAAAGAAGATACCTGGTGCGAAATGGATGGAGAAGAGTGCTTTCGGTGGTGCCACATCAGTGAAGCAAAACGAACGGAGAAGAGGGCTTTCGGTGGTGCGATTCGAACGAAGAGAGAGGGCTTCCGGTGGTGCGATTCGAACAGAGAGAGAGGGTTTCCAGCATTGCTCGGGTGCATGTGAGAGGGCGAGGAAGAGATCGGTGAGAGGGTTTCACGAGCTCAGACTAGAGAGAGAGCGAGAGACAGACTGGGTGAGATTAGGGTTTTTTTTTTTGGGAGGGGGGGGAATGGGAAAAAAATAAAGGGGGGAGCGGGAATGAAAAAAAATAAAAGGGCGGGACTGAAAAATAAAAATAAAAATAAAAAAATAATTAAATAAATTTATTTTTTGTTAAAATATATATTTTTTGTGGTTAATGAATTTTTTTTTTAATTTTTTTTTTAGTTATTAAGATTGAAAATTTATTTGTTTCATTTTTATTTTAGTGAAAAAAAATATTATTATTTTTTATTTTGTAGAAATAGGGGTAATATATATTTTAATGAAAAATATTTTCCACTAACATAAAAATTAATTTTCTGTAGTCAATGAAAAATAAAAAATAGACACACAAATAAGTACAAGAATCTGAGTGAGTTAGAGCATAAAATTGTCTTCAATCCACCTAGTTCTAACTAAATATGAATAAAATATATGGGGATTCATCAACGAATTATCCAAAAAAACTACAAATCAAACTCCTACGAAAAAAAAAAGACAATCTGTAAAAATAATTTTCTTGTAGAATATTTACTCTTAGAATGATTTTTGGGGGAATTGTTGTTGGCCAACATTTGTTGTAACTAGGTTCATATATTTTTTCAATTTTTTATTACATATTTACTGTCGAGCACAAATATTATTGAAAACTGGTAACCATTACTCATTGGGTTGTTAATGTTAATATATGTAATAAAAAGTGCACATGAAATTAAAAGTGCATTCAAATTTATAACTTAGCATTATTTGGTTTGAGTCATGGTGAAATACTGAACATAGTTAACATAACACCAGCAACAAGAAAAATTGAAAATCAGATAATATGAAATTATTCTATAATACCCAAGAATAACACACACATGAAAAGATTAAGCACAGATCTGGGCTTAAAAACATTCATAATGCTATTTGTAAATATATATATATATATATATATAAAGTAATTCAAATGTGATGCTGGATGATCTCACATTATGGATGAACCCAGTGTACAAAACTCCCACTAAAGTAGGGTCTGGATATACAACCTTACCCCCCATTATGGATCTGCAAATCAAATATTGTTTGCTGGATGGACAAAATTTATAAAATTGTATGTCCTATTCAGTTTGGTTGGACACCCATTTGAGTGAAAGAAGTAGAGATCTTTTATAGCTAATCATTTCAAGAAGTGTGAGATCTCTCAAATTTCAATCTAGAATTCAATTGGTATATCCCTTAAAATCTTTAAATTACAGAGTTATTAAAAGTGCTTTTGAGTTTCAATAAAAACTATATCCCAAAGAAATATTTTTAGTTATGAGGTTGTGGATGAGAAAAAGAGAACACAGGAAAAGGCCCAATCTAAATTAGTTTGAGATTCTAGGTACCACAACCTAGTATTTCCGTTAACCAAAAACACCATATAAGACCACTAAAAAGCAATAACATCATCTCCATATAAACAAAAACTCACTGGAAGCATTTAAAATCGGGCTCATTTCATTTTGAACTTATAAAATTCAAACCACATCTAAAAAAAGTAATAACAGTTACTAAAAAAACTACAGAATGTAGAATAGCAAGTCCTAAGTACTGACAAAAAAAAGACTCTTACCCAGTCCAGCCCGTCTGGAAAAGGGTCAACCACAAAAGTTGGAATCTCCTCCATCAAATTGTCTGGATTTCCTGAATGCAAAACCCTAGTGAATCCTCCCATATCAGAACCTGGCATGGCTTTAACCTTCTTATACCAATAATACATGATCTGGCACTGCCACTTGCTGTAAGGTGCATCTGTGGCTGAGAATGAAAAAATTATAAGGAAATATTAACCCAAAGAAAAGGGACTGGTTTCTAAAATTGAACCAATAGGTAATTCTCCAGTAATTATCAAAAAGGTAGAGTAGCTTATATTCTAATGTTGCTTTAACTAGTAATTTGGTCTGATTCTAATAATTTTCTTCACATAAGAAGCACCTAAGGAATTTTAAATGCTCCTCACGTAAGAATGAAAGCAAAATCTGTTGATTCTTGTTGTGATTGAATCATTAAAAAGTAATATAGTACTGATAATTGTCAAGGCTGACCTTTCTTCTTCTCCTTTTTTGCCCCTCCTATAATGCTCCATTTGTTTGGGAATGTTTTCTGCATTACGTAAAATCTCAAGCTGAACTTATTTATGACTGATGCAGATACATTCTGATTGTTGTAATTGATCAAGTATTTGTAAATCCTTTGCCAAACTTGGCATATGGAGACCAACCAGCTGCATTCCCATTTTCTACATACAACCAAGTAACACCAACAACAACAGAGATAACCACCAAGCCTCACAGCAGCCAATCAATCAAACCACAACCTCAAATCAGAGCATACCAGCATACCACAACCTCAAAACAGGGTAGGAACAAATCGTATTCAACAATTTATCCAATTGGAAATCACAAAAAAAAATTGAGGGAAATCGTATACAAATCTTTATTCACAAAGAGTGTACATATATATATATATATATATAGAAAATAAGATACCTAGTGCGAAATGGATGGAGAAGAGTGCTTTCGGTGGTGCCACATCAGTGAAGCAAAACGAACGGAGAAGAGGGCTTTCGGTGGTGCGATTCGAACGAAGAGAGAGGGCTTCCGGTGGTACGATTCGAACAGAGAGAGAGGGTTTCCAACATTGCTCGGGTGCATGTGAGAGGGCGAGGAAGAGATCGGTGAGAGGGTTTCACGAGCTCAGACTAGAGAGAGAGCGAGAGACAGACTGGGTGAGATTAGGGTTTTTTTTTGGGGGAGGGGGGGGAATGGGAAAAAAATAAAGGGGGGAGCGGGAATGAAAAAAAATAAAAGGGCGGGACTGAAAAATTAAAATAAAAATAAAAAAATAATTAAATAAATTTATTTTTTGTTAAAATATATATTTTTTTGTGGTTAATGATTTTTTTTTTTAATTTTTTTTTAGTTATTAAGATTGAAAATTTATTTGTTTCATTTTTATTTTAGTGAAAAAAAATATTCTTATTTTTTATTTTGTAGAAATAGGGGTAATATATATTTTAATGAAAAATATTTTCCACTAACATAAAAATTAATTTTCTATAGTCAATGAAAAATAAAAAATACACACACAGAGAGAAAGAAAGAGAGAAGAGTGATAAGTGAGAGAGAGAGAGAGAGAAGAGTGAGAGAAACAAACAGACACAGAGAGAGAAAGAAAGAGAAAAGAGTGATAAGTGAGAGAGAGATAAAGAGATATATATAGAGAGAGAGAGACAGAGAGACAGAGAGAGAAAGAGATAGAGAGAGACATATAGAAAAATAGAGAGAAACAAGAGATGCAAGAGATATATAGAAAGAGAGCGAAAAGAGATGAACGAGAGAGAGAATAGAAAAATAGAGAGATAGAGAGAAGAGAGATGAGTGAGAGAGACAGAGAGAGAGAAAAGAGAGAGAAACGAGAGAGACAGAGAGAGAAAAGAGATGAGAGAAGAGATAGATGAGTGAGAGAGAGAGACAGATAAACAGACAGGCAGAAAGAGAAGAGTGATGAGTGAGAAAGAGAAAGAGAAGAGAGAAAGAAAGATGAAAAAATGAATGAAAAGATATAGACAAAGAGAGAGAGAGATGAAAAAAAATAAAAGGGCGGGACTGAAAAATTAAAATAAAAATAAAAAAATAATTAAATAAATTTATTTTTTGTTAAAATATATATTTTTTTTGTGGTTAATGAATTTTTTTTTTAATTTTTTTTTAGTTATTAAGATTGAAAATTTATTTGTTTCATTTTTATTTTAGTGAAAAAAAATATTATTATTTTTTATTTTGTAGAAATAGGGGTAATATATATTTTAATGAAAAATATTTTCCATTAACATAAAAATTAATTTTCTGTAGTCAATGAAAAATAAAAAATAGACATAGAGAGAGAAAGAAAGAGAGAAGAGTGATAAGTGAGAGAGAGATAAAGAGAGAAAGAGATATATATAAAGAGAGAGAGACAGAGAGACAGAGAGAGAAAGAGATAGAGAGAGACATATAGAAAAATAGAGAGAAACAAGAGATGAGAGAGATATATATAGAAAGAGAGCGAAAAGAGATGAACGAGAGAGAGAATAGAAAAATAGAGAGATAGAGAGAAGAGAGAAGAGAGATGAGTGAGAGAGACAGAGAGAGAGAAAAGAGAGATGAACGAGAGAGATAGAGAGAGAAAAGAGATGAGCGAGATAGAGAGAAGAGAGATGAGCAAGAGAGACATAGAAAGAAGACAAATGAGAGAGATAGAGAGAAGAAAGATGAACGAAAGACACATAGACAGATAGACAAACAGACAGAGAAAGAAGAGTGATGAGTAAAAGAGAGAAAGAGAAGAGTGGTGGTAGTAGAATGGCATTTGCAGTAGTGGTAAATGTGGTAGAGAAGATGGGTGGTGAGAGAGAGATATGAGTGAGAGACGAATAGAGAAAAGAGATAGAGAGGCAGAGAAAGAGACAGAGTGATGAGCGACAAAGAGACAAAGTGATGAGCGAGCAAGTGTGCCGTCGCAAATAGTTTCGTCTCATATACCCATTTTTTCTTGTAGTAAAGAATGAGAAGGAGTTGTGTGTGAGAGTGAGATGAGAAACGGAGAAGGGTTAGGCAAAATTTTGGGGGGAATCCCAATTTGAGAGGGAATTTCAAATTAAGATAAAAATTTTATGGAAATATTTGCTGCTAATTTTTTTAGAGATGTGAAAAATAGATCAGGCTTGTTAAATTAATATTTTTTAATTTTATTTATTGTTTATACTTTTTACTTTATTGGAGTTTTATGACTCAGTTTGTGAATTTTTTTTACACACTTTGCCCTCGTTTTGATAATGAAATTTTTTTATAACTTTTTAAATATATGTTTTGTGTCTGTAAAATGATTATTTCATTAGTACTGGTAATAATATTGAAAAATTTATTAAAATGATAAATAATTGGGATATTTTGTCTTTTATTTGTGAATTTTGATTTATTCTTAATTTATTAGTGTTATTGAAATATGATGATGTAAAAAGGATAAATAGTTTAATTGTACTTTTTAAAAATAATAAATTTATTATTAAAAATTAAATTCATCAGACTAACCTGTAACTATGCCTTTAAATTTTTGCAATGTAAAACTATCGACAAACAGCCAATAACAAGTTGCCCATTTTAGCATACCTTTCGCGTGAGGGCCCAATTATTAAAAGATGTGTTCAACCCATCAAATGAAAGCCGACAACTTCTTCCACCTAAAAATAATAGTCTATTTTCAGAATTTAATTTCTTTTTATAATACAATTATTACATTTTAAAAATATTAATTTTTCAAAATTACCTTTTGATAGTATATTTTTGTAGAAATATCAATTGTCATAATTGTACTTTTTGTATTATTAATGGATTTAAAAAAAGGACAAAATAAGAAATTCATATTATTTTAATAATTAATTTTTTTTAAATTAATATTTTGAGATAATAAAAAATAAAATAAGATATTAATAATTTTGGATGGTGGGTGTACAACCTAAAGTTTGGTCGGGAAAGATTAAAAATTAATTTTTTTATTTTCATTTGGCTACCAAACAATTTAGTAGCCGAAAGTAGGTATACAGCGACTAAAAAAAATTTTGTCGCCGAAACATGGCATTTGGCGACCAAATGTTTGGTCGGGAAAGATTAAAAATTAATTTTTTTATTTTCATTCGGCTACCAAAAAATTTAGTAGCCAAAAGTAGGTCTACAGCGACTAAAAGAAATTTTGTCGCCGAAACTGAACATTTGGCGACCAAAATTTTGGTCGGCAAAGATTAAAATTAATTTTTTTATTTTCATTCGGCTACCAAAAAATTTAGTAGCCAAAAGTAGGTCTACAACGACTAAAAGGAATTTTGTCGCCGAAACTGAACATTTGGCGACCAAAATTGTCATATGTTTAGCTACTAAAAATTGTTTTAGTCGCCAATTGTAATATCTTTAGCTACTAAATTTTTTTTAGTAGCCAATAATCAACATTCCCCTACTAAAAAAAATTAGTAGCTAAAAATTTGACTTTTGCCGACTAACATTATTTTTGGTAGCCAATTCCGTGACTTTTGGCGACTAAATTAGTTTTGGTAGCTAAAAGTGGTCGGCAAAAATGCTTTTTCTTGTAGTGGTGAGTCTCTGGGTAAATGCTTAAAACCCTCTTTTCTCTTCGTGTATTATTTTATCTTTCTATATGCTTTGAGCTTTTGATTTGTTGATCTTGACATTTGTGACTTTGGAGCCGGAACCTGGAATGCTTAATTTGTACAAAACCTAATGTTTGTGAAATCAAAATTTGAAACCCTCTTGCTAAGAAGGAGAGCAATATTGATATTGTTGTAGAGCTCATAATCACAATGTCACATTTTGTCTAATGGTCTAAGGATCTGTAATTCTGATGAACCTCATACTCTGATGAACTCTAAATTTGTGAACTTCGATGGAAATTTTATTTGGATCTTGAATCCTGTAATTTTTTGTCTTGAAATAACTAGTGTTCCTTGTTAAATCTTGGACCTATATCGATAATCTTGACATACATGGAGGCCTGATGTTGAAAATGAAGGATTGGTAGTGCTACTGAAAATTTTGTTAGACTTGCTCGTCTTGAAATTTGTAGAGCAAAAAAATTTTGTTGCAAACGAAACCTGAGGAAATGAGCCCCTTATATTGTATATAAATCTTGTTGTTGAATGATTGATTGTTGTTTTGTTTGTCGGCTTTACTATTTCAGGCAAATAAATTCTTATGCGAAATCCATGACCCCAGGGCCCTTTGAACCTGCACTAATAAGAGCAAGGCTTGTCCCTCGGAAGACTGAACAAAAGTAAAACTGTCCCTCAAGAGTCTAAAAGTAGCATACACCCTAGTTCGACAAGAAAGATCCCTTCTAGCAGGCGATTGAGTTTATCAAGCTCGTACTAATGGAAGTAAAGATTGTTCCTTGGAAGTCCGAGCGGAGGCAACACTGTCCCTCAGAAGTCCGAGTGGATGTACACTCTCTTTTTCGGCAACCAATGGAAGCAAATGCTGTCCCTCGAAAGTTCGAGTAGGAGTACACTCTACTTTAACAAGAAAGACCTTCGAAGCTTGCACTGTTAGAAGTAAGGGTTGTTCTTCGGAAGTCCAAGTGGATATACACTTCTACTTCGGTAGCTAATGGAAGCAAAGGCCACGACCTCGAGGCCCTCAGAACTCGCACTATAATGAGAGTAAGGGTTATCCCTTAGAAGTCCGAATAGAAGCAAGGTTGTCCCTCAAGAGTCTGAATAGTAGCACGCACCCTACTTCGGCAAGAAAGATCCCTCTGGAAGGCAATCGAGTCTACCAAGCTTGCACCAACAGAAGTAAAGATTGTCTCTCAGAAGTCCGAGCGGAAGCAAGGCTATCCCTCAAAAGTTCGAGGCTGTCCTTTAAGAGTCCAAATAGTAGCATACACCCTACTTTGGCAAGAAAGATCCTCAAAACTCATACTAATGGAAGCAAAGGCTATTTTTCAGAAATCTGAGTGGGAACACACACTTTGCTTTAACAAGAAAGACCCTCGAAGCTTGCACTGATGAAAGTAAGGGTTGTTTTTCGAAAGTCTGAATGGGAGCACACACTCTACTTC